TTCAAAAGTTCTGTCTCTGTGTGAGGCTTTGAAGTGTTTCTCTCTCCCGTCAAGCGCCTTAATGGGCCAATTGCAACCATCGAAGGCCACCAGATTATCGCCATCTGACCTCTAGTTAAACCATCAATACGTGCTAAAATGACCTGCACAGCTGATCTCAATTGCAACCAACATTGGCCAGCGATTTCCCGCTCCCTAATGCGGATGTCGAGATTATCTTTTAGTCTTGATTGCAGCCAACATTTTCCAAGACTATTTCACCCTCTGGTTGGTATTGTCATCAGAAAACAACTTAATCCTACTTTATGAGCAAACTAACGGTGATTTATCTATTTGACAATCATTCCATACAACTGAAATAAAGTATTTCCTCGTTTACCACAGTAAATCTACTATGGCAATTTACCCGACACGTTGTATGAATGGAAAACTAATGTTGATGCTGTAGCCAACTCTTATTATTTTAAATAATTAAATACAACCGCTTTTAAAAGAAACTTGTCTGATATGGTCATTTCTTATCAAGATTGGGGTTAAAATATCCCCGGACAGTCCATATTTGAAATGTGTAACTAATCGTGTTTGTGTTATATCATCTACATTTTTTTATCAACTGAAAATGAAGTCTGTAAAGTTATTTCGAATGCCAAATATTATATTATTTTGACATTTAAGGTGAAACGTTTGAATGAAATATAAGCCTACTACTTCTATATTCTTATACTCTAATAAGTATTTTTACATTCATCAGCCTTACGGTTTCTGATGCTCCTGGCGGGAGTAGAGAATCTAGACCAGCTGTCTGGTTTCATAATCACATGACACGGTAACAACAAGAGCTCAACTGATCTACTGGTTTATCCTTGTGGGTTTTTCGTTGCAATCAAGCTTAGTTTAGCCTGCAGGTGCATGTAATTTCCTGCTAGTAGCGTTTTAAGAAATCCTGCAGTAACCTGTAGGACTGCGTGAAGTTCTGCCAGTTAGTTGCAATCAAGACACCATATCTCTTTCATGTCACAATCAGAGGCATCAGATTCAACGGCTTTAACGAAGCACAAACCTGACCATTAATGTAATCAGAAAAGCATTAGAAAACTGAAAACCTGGCAGAGTACTGAAAAGAGTCAAGGGGTACAGTGGGGAAAAAATGTATTTAGTCAGCCACCAATTGTGCAAGTTCTCCCACTTAAAAAGATGAGAGAGGCCTGTATTTGTCATCATAGGTACACGTCAACTATGACAGACAAAATGAGGAAAAAAAATCCAGAAAATCACATTGTAGGATTTTTAATGAATTTATTTGCAAATTATGGTGGAAAATAAGTATTTGGTCAATAACAAAAGTTTCTCAATACTTTGTTATATACCCTTTGTTGGCAATGACACAGGTCAAACGTTTTCTGTAAGTCTTCACAAGGTTTTCACACACTGTTGCTGGTATTTTGTCCCATTCCTCCATGCAGATCTCCTCTAGAGCAGTGATGTTTTGGGGCTGTCGCTGGGCAACACGTACTTTCAACTCCCTCCAAAGATTTTCTATGGGGTTGAGATCTGGAGACTGGCTAGGCCACTCCAGGACCTTGAAATGCTTCTTACGAAGCCACTCCTTCGTTGCCCGGGCGGTGTGTTTGGGATCATTGTCATGCTGAAAGACCCAGCCACGTTTCATCTTCAATGCCCTTGCTGATGGAAGGAGGTTTTCACTCAAAATCTCACGATACATGGCCCCATTCATTCTTTCCTTTACACGGATCAGTCGTCCTGGTCCCTTTGCAGAAAAACAGCCCCAAAGCATGACGTTTCCACCCCCATGCTTCACAGTAGGTATGGTGTTCTTTGGATGCAACTCAGCATTCTTTGTCCTCCAAAAACGACGAGTTGAGTTTTTACCAAAAAGTTATATTTTGGTTTCATCTGACCATATGACATTCTCCCAATCCTCTTCTGGATCATCCAAATGCACTCTAGCAAACTTCAGACGGGCCTGGACATGTAATGGCTTAAGCAGGGGGACACGTCTGGCACTGCAGGATTTGAGTCCCTGGCGGCGTAGTGTGTTACTGATGGTAGGCTTTGTTACTTTGGTCCCAGCTCTCTGCAGGTCATTCACTAGGTCCCCCCGTGTGGTTCTGGGATTTTTGCTCACCGTTCTTGTGATCATTTTGACCCCACGGGGTGAGATCTTGCGTGGAGCCCCAGATCGAGGGAGATTATCAGTGGTCTTGTATGTCTTCCATTTCCTAATAATTGCTCCCACAGTTGATTTCTTCAAACCAAGCTGCTTACCTATTGCAGATTCAGTCTTCCCAGCCTGGTGCAGGTCTACAATTTTGTTCCTGGTGTCCTTTGACAGCTCTTTGGTCTTGGCCATAGTGGAGTTTGGAGTGTGACTGTTTGAGGTTGTGGACAGGTGTCTTTTATACTGATAACAAGTTCAAACAGGTGCCATTAATACAGGTAACGAGTGGAGGACAGAGGATCCTCTTAAAGAAGAAGTTACAGGTCTGTGAGAGCCAGAAATCTTGCTTGTTTGTAGGTGACCAAATACTTATTTTCCACCATAATTTGCAAATAAATTCATAAAAAATCCTACAATGTGATTTTCTGGGGGAAAATTGGTGGCTGACTAAATACTTTTTTTCCCCACTGTATATGTATATATATATATATATATATATATATATATATATATATATATATATATATATATATATATATATATATATATATATATTATATAGAGAGAGAGAGAGACTGTATATAATATCCTTTTAAGATAGTAAATTGACCACAAGTAGTTAAATAACCCACAGAGTCTCTGTATGGAGAGTGGGACTGAAAGATTGATTGTCAGATGAATTAGACTTTTCTTGTATTTGTGCTTTGGATTGGAGGAATGTGAAAAGCCGTCATTATCATGTGTTAGTTTCAGAGAGAGAGAGAGAGAGTCTGGTGAAAGAGTATACTTATATCCACATGAAGATTCATTTACACTGATACTGAACAAATTATGCAACCAGATACCTCTCCAGCTACAGTACCTCAAAGGTGACAAAGTAATCAACCAACTACATCTCACTGATGCACACACGTATACATATCGGTAAGTCATTTGATTTAAAAAGACGATAGGGTCTTCAGTACCCTGACGGTTTAGTCTGTCCCTGATTAAACATGATTCAATATTTCAACTTTGTTGCTAAATCCATACCAGCCTCATTTTGCAACGCCATGCACAGTCTCTCTTGCTATACTAGACTATTATCATCCCCAAATACATATTTCATTGCCACCCTCATCACCTGGGGACCTGTCCCAGACTAACGCAGTGAAAATCGACTAAATCAGGATTTTAGTGGAGCCTGTGGAGCATTATACAAAAATGACAAATTGACACATTGATTGGAGATTGGCTTGTTTTCAAAATAATGTAATTGTTCTTAGGGTAGTGTTAACAGAATGAGAAGTCAATATTTAATCATAATAAATATGTAAGAGAGAAGAGTTTAGCCTAGGGCTATATCAAGTATCTCAATCTCATTTGTATTAAGTACTGTCTATTTCAAACTACCATATGTATCCTCTGGTGAACAAGTTCTCTCAACAGAACTCCAAACCTCCCACAATAATGTAGCAAGGTCATAACTTCCATCAATAAATACTCTGACAATTGAAATAAATAGCAAACGGTAACATATTACTCATAAAATACTACATACAGTGCATTCGGAAAGTATTCAGACCCCTTGACTTTTTCCACATTTTGTAACGTTTATTCTAAAATGGATTAAAGAAAAAATGTTCCTCATCAATCTACACACAATACCCGAGATCCAGAGTTCCTCTGTGGAGATGGGAGAACCTTCCAGAAGGACAACCATCTCTGCAGCACCACCAATCAGGCCTTTATGGTAGAGTGGCCAGATGGAAGACACTCCTCAGTAAAAGGCACATGACAGCCCGCTTAGAGTTTGCCAAAAGGCACCTAAAGGACTCTCAGACCATGAGAAACAAGATTCTCTGGTCTGATGAAACCAGGATTGGATTTGGCCTGAATGCCAAGCGTCACGTCTGGAGGAAACCTGGCACCATCCCTACAGTGAAGCATGGTGGTGGCATCATGCTGTGGGGATGTTTTTCAGCGGCAGGGACTGGGAGACTAGTCAGGATCGAGGCAAAGATGAATGGAGCAAAGTACAGAGAGATCCTTGATGAAAACCTGCTCCAGAGCGCTCAGGACCTCAGACTGGGGCGAAGGTTCACCTTCCAACAGGACAACGACCCTAAGCACACAGCCAAGACAACACAGGAGTGGCTTCGGGAAAAGTTGGCCCAGCCAGAGCCCGGACTTGAACCCGATCGAACATCACTGGAGAGACCTGACAATAGCTGTGCAGCGATGCTCCCCATCCAACCTGACAGAGCTTGAGAGGATCTGCAGAGAAGAATGGGAGAAATTCCCAAATACAGGTGTGCCAAGCTTGTAGCGTCATACCCAAGAAGACTCAAGGCTGTAATCGCTGCCAAAGATGCTTCAACAAAGTACTGAGTAAAGGGTCTGAATACTTATGTAAATGTGATATTTCAGTTGTTGTTTTTATACATTTGCTAAAATTTCTAAAAACCTGTTTTTGCTTTATCATTATGGAGTATTGTGTGTAGATTGATGAGAAAAAAAAGAAGATTTTTTGTTTTTGTTTTTAGAATAAGCCTGTAACGTAAAGAAATGTGGAAAAGGTCAAGGGGTCTGAATACTTTCCGAATGCACTGTAAATATATTACGTGAGGGCTCATTTTCTCATTTGAAGTAAGGCAATAAATAATCTCTTATACTTTCAATAGCATAGCATAGAGCTGTAGTTAAACCCAGAAATACTATACTACTGTGTTGAGGGCTCACTTGTAAAAGAGACCTGGGTCTCAATGTGAACTTCCCTGTGTAAATGAAGTTTAAATAAAATAAGGTAACATATCCTGCATAAATACATTTCATCAAGTGCTCACTTGGAGTAGGGGTGAAGTTGTTTAGTCTTAGCCTTCTTGGAGAGTCCAACCCTGATGGGACGTGTGCATGTTTTCAGAGGCTCCAATCTCTTGGGCTGCTCAGGCTTTCCTGAAGGCAAGGAGACAAGAATAAATACCTTATACTGTACTGTACTTATGTGTGTGAACAGGCTACCACCTGCTGCATGCAGTGTAGTGTACAATATCTAGGCCTAACTCCAATTAACAGGCCAGATACACTACCAGTCAAAAGTTTGGACACACCTACTCATTCAAAGATTTTTCTTTATTTTTACTATTTTCTACATTGTAGAATAATAGTGAAGAAATCACAACTATGAAATAACACACATGGAATCATGTAGTAACCAAAAAAGTGTGGACTTGGTCTTTTACCAAATAGGGCTATCTTCTGTATACCCCCCTACCTTGTCACAACACAACTGATTGGCTCAAATGCATTAAGAAGGAAAGAAATTCCACAATTAACTTTTAAGAAGGCACACATGTTAATTGAAATGCATTCCAGGTGACTACCTCATGAAGCTGGTTGAGAGAATGCCAAGAGTGTGTAAAGCTGTCATCAACGCAAAGTGTGGCTATTTGAAGAATCTAAAATCTAAAATATATTTTGATTTAACACTTTTTTGGTTACTACATGATTCCATATGTGTTATTTCATAGTTTTGATTTCTTCACTATTATTCTACAATGTAGAAAATAGTAAAAATAAAGAAAAATCTTTGAATGAGTAGGTGTGTCCAAACTTTTGACTGGTACTGTATGTTAGAGAGCTGCTGTCAATAGCATCATGCTCCAAGAGCAGTAAAAGGCCTCAGTGAGTAAATAAATAACTCAAATTACTGAAACGCCTTACTTCAACTAAAATATTTTACAACCTGCTGATTTTTAACAAAATACTCAGCTCAGAGTGGGGATGTGTAACCTACTTTGGTTTAACTGGTCCATGCATGGGAGAAACATGAACGCAGGAGACCACAGCTTGCATTTCTCGTCTGCTCCTTGCCCCCTGGGGTGATCTGTCGACACAATCCAATAATATTACCGTCATGTTAAGGCAGGATTACTCTGTTCGTGTTTTGATAAGCTTTCACTGTCCCCACAAAAAAAAAAAATATATATATATATGGCTGTGTTTTATTGCCATAGTTGTATGTCATTTTGGAACGTGTATTGATAGTCTGCAAATTGACAACACAAGAAGAAAAAAAACGTCCGATAGGTGTCTGATTGACGCAATAAAAATTACAATTACAATCATAAGTACTCAGTTAACATTCTTGCTAGGGTTACATCAATAAACTTGTTTTCGGAGACGTCTTTATGCAAGACATTTATCTAGAGAGTGAAGTTTCAGACCAAGGCCTTTTGTTAAATGTCAAATCACACCAACCTTTGTGCTTGACTGAAGAGTACATGGAGTCCTCTCCCTCTGTGCCGTGATGGCTGCATTCAAGAGGCACCTCCTGCTCACAGTCAAGGCCCCCAGTGGTACATGTAGTTTCTGGTTCTGCTTGATATGTTTTCAGACCGTGGTCATCATCTCTCATTGATGTGCTTCCACGTGGTTCCTCTTCCACTGCATCCTGGCTGCTTGGACGGTCACTACTGCTCCATCTAGTAGATGAGAGCGATAATACTTTATTAAAGGGATAGTTCGAGATATGAAGGAAGTTGGAGGTCGTTTAACGTGCCAACGCTAGCTAGCTTAGCGCAAAGCTAGCTGATCCCAAAGACTTCCGGTTATTGCGCTAACGCTAGTTAGAATTGGCTCGCGAAACTACCTCTAACTTTCTTCATACTGGATGCAGAGACATAAAAATGGTCTCCTGGAGTTCACTATCCCTTTAATCCCCAAGGGGAAATGAGTTAATCATACAGTAACAATAATAAAAACAATAGAAACACTCACGTCATTAAATCAGTGTTGTCCTTCTCAGCTCCAGGATCCCTGACGCTGCACAGTTCAGACGTTGCTCTTTCGGATGATTGATAACCTGCCTCGTCACTGATCTCGAAATACAAACTGAGCTCTTCCATGACCATGTCGAACCTCTCCTTTATTTCAAACTCTGGGAAGTCGTGGCTTTCAGAGACCGGATGGATGTTTTTGTCAGAGGTGAGATAGGGGAGTTTTGCCTGAGGGGGAGAATCACACTGAGAAGTTCCACAGAGAAGAGTAGAAGTCTGGCAAGGCATTTCCGGACTCAATGATGGAGAGATTTGGGGTGAGATAAAGTCGGGGATAGGGACTTCATTAAACCTGGTGTTTTCACAGTGGAAAAAGCCCCTCTCAGCTTCCTCTTGGCACTGGTCCTCTTCTTCCTCTGCTATGTCCTCTTCATCACTCACTCCTGAGTGCATAGTGCCACCAGCACCGTGGTGTTGAAACTCAGTTTTAAATGTTTGACTGGGCGAGCTGCTGAGGAGAGGGCTGTGCTCCAGGCCATTGCTGTCAAGGGGAGAGAGCTGGATCTTTTCAAACGTGTCAAACCCAACTGGCACACAGTCAGAGAGGATGTGTGCCACAGATGGCATGACTGAGGCTGATTGGTCCTCCTCTCGGTCCCGTACTGTGTCATCCTCTGGGTTAGAATCTGATCCTGGGACGACAGCATCGTTGGGTACTGAGGTGAAAGGGACCACATTATTGTTTTCAATCTTGAGTAGTGCTTTGGTTCCGTCGGTGTGATCAACTGCTGGACCCTCCTTGGCAGCCTGCAAGAGAACAGTTCCAGGTGTAGCTTCTACAGGAAGGTGGAGTATTGGTATGTCTGCAATTTTGCAGAGTTCTCCTTCGGCCCAGTTGTTGATCCACTCACCAGTCATTGCACCTATGACCCCTGTGCTTAGAATGTCACAGCGAGTTATCATTCCAAGTTCCTTGTTCACTGACTTGACATGCAGGTCAGTTTCTGTAACACTGTCACCGTTTTCCTCCATTATCCCATTCAGAACTGCACACTCAGATGGCAAACTAACAGTTTCATGTGTCTTTAGATAGTCTTTAATGGTAGAAACCTGGCCAGCTGGGTCCCATTCCTCACAAAGGTGTTTTGCTGTGTCAGAACTTACTTTGCTTCCCTCTTCAGCATCATAACTCTCTTCATGGACAGGAGTGCTGCTGAGAAGTGGCTCCCAATGATGGATCCCCTGGCTGCTTGAGTCATGTTCCTCTGTTGTGCAGCTGCACTGTTCCACCGATAACTGACAGGTGTCCTCATATTCACCTTTGAGTTGGGTTCCATTTTGAGCATCAAAATGACAAGAGAGCTCCAAAGTAGCATTCCTGACGTATTCAGCAGTCCTCAGGAGGAAATCTTCTTGTTGTGGTGGGTGGAGAGGAAACCTGGTATTCTCTGGTTGTGTTGGGTGGAGAGGAGACGTGGTATCTTCTGGTTGTAGTGGGTGGAGAGGAGACGTGGTATCTTCTGGCTGTGGTGTGTGGAGAGGAGATGTGGTATCTTCTGGTTGTGGGTGGAGAGGAGACATAGTATCTTCTGGTTGTGGTGGGTGGAGAGGAGACGTGGTATCTTCTGGTTGTGGGTGTAGAGGAGACGTGGTATCTTCTGGTTGTGGTGAGTGGAGAGGAGACGTAGTATCTTCTGGTTGTGGGTGGAGAGGAGACGTGGTATCTTCTGGTTGTGGTGGGTGGAGAGGAGACGTGGTATCTTTTGGTTGTGGGTGGAGAGGAGACGTGGTATCTTCTGGTTGTGGTGGGTGGAGAGGAGACGTAGTATCTTCTGGTTGTGGTGGGTGGAGAGGAGACGTAGTATCTTTTGGTTGTGGGTGGAGAGGAGACGTGGTATCTTCTGGTTGTGGGTGTAGAGGAGACGTGGTATCTTCTGGTTGTGGTGAGTGGAGAGGAGACGTAGTATCTTCTGGTTGTGGGTGGAGAGGAGACATAGTATCTTCTGGTTGTGGTGGGTGGAGAGGAGATGTGGTATCTTTTGGTTGTGGGTGGAGAGGAGACGTAGTATCTTCTGGTTGTGGTGGGTGGAGAGGAGACGTGGTATCTTTTGGTTGTGGTGGGTGGAGAGGAGACGTGGTATCTTCTGGTTGTGGGTGTAGAGGAGACGTGGTATCTTCTGGTTGTGGGTGGAGAGGAGACGTGGTATCTTTTGGTTGTGGGTGGAGAGGAGACGTGGTATCTTTTGGTTGTGGGTGGAGAGGAGACGTGGTATCTTCTGGTTGTGGTGGGTGGAGAGGAGACGTAGTATCTTCTGGTTGTGCTGGGTAGAGAGGAGACGTCGTATATTCTGGATGTGGTGGGTGGAGAGGAGACATAGTTTCTAGAGTCACTCTGTTGATGTCACAGCAAACTGCATGTTCGGTTACACTTGCTATCTTGTTGCGATTAACATCAGCTGGCTTTTGACAGAGGCCTGTTGAAACCGACAGTTTCTGAGTTGTGCTGTGATCAACACCCAGTTCACACAAAGTTTCAGCTGTCACCGTGCCAACAGCGTGCCCCCACGTTGCTTCACGGAGATCATCATGCTTAAGAACCATCTTGATCTCAGCCCCATCACTCAGTACATGACTGTCTAATACCGTATAACAAGTGACAACGGAGCCATCTACATATTCAACTACTGTCTCAGCTGCGGCAGAGCTGTCATTATGCATGAAGTCCTCCTTGTTAACTTGGGCTTTTGCTTCTCTATTGCAGACATCTGCATTTTCTCTCACATCATTCTGCAATCTGGCTTCATTTCCCTCGTGTTTTTTCACTCCTGTAAAGTTCCCAAAAGGGTCCATTTCAGCACGAGAGCCAGATGACTCGCAGTCCTCTCTGTAATCACTGGGTAAAGGGTAACGCCTGGCCTCTTTCTCATTGCAGATACTTTGATTGAATCCATATTTATCCTCATTCTGAATCTGATGATTATTTTCACCTTCAGTAGATCCTTTGATGAAGCCCATGCTGTAAATGGCTGAATTCAGAGCCAGGCTTTCACAGGTGTAATCAGGTTCTTCAGTGCCGTCACTCATACTTGAGCTGTGGTCGGTTACTGGGATGCGGCTGTCACCATTTTGTTCAGTCATTGCTTCTTCATCTGCTGAGGGACTAGTACCGGTGAGAGTGCATTCGAGTGATTTCCCAGGCTGATTGAAATCATAACTTGAGGATGTATCAGTTGTTGTGTCATCAGAAGTGTGAGACTTTGCTGACGCACACCCTGCTTCATTTCTATAGTGAAAGCTGTAAGAAGAGGTGCCTGTTTCACTAAGTGGATCATGTTGCTCATCTACCCCTTGACATAGACCTTGAGAGTCTCTCTCTGTACTGTGAGGACTGATTACACATGACCCTGCGCTTGTCTGATTATCTCTGAGAGCTGTACTCTCCTCTTTTCCCATTTCTTCACAATAAAATCCTGTCACTGTGAATTTGAGATATTCATGGTCAGATTCAACTCTATATGTTTTGTCCTCCTGAAAAATAGGCCTATTCTGCAGTGATGCGATACCGTCGTTGTTCCGGAAACTCAACGGTTCCGGGAATTCGAAATGGGTTTTGCAACTGTGTTTGTTTGTTATTGTGCAATCTGTCCTTGGTCGTTTAGGAGACAATGGAGCAGTATCTTCCTCAATGGGAAACCAGCCATCTTGTGTGTGTTTATCCATTCCTTTTTTTATCCACTAAACCTAAAACAAAGACAGATTTACTGTCAACCTATGTTTTTATTCCTAAGAATACACATTGAGTAAGATATGTTGTTTATAAAGTGTGTTTGGCATATCAAAGATTAAATTCATATGAGAAACACACTGATAGACTGACGAGTTAATGATTATAGATTTAAAAGCAAAGGAAATCTTTTGTAGCTTCTTATTTCAATATGGTTGATAAATTACATATAGGCTTACAGCAAGTGCAATACATTTGGCCAGCTAAATGGAATACAACATTACTGTATGCTTTGATAGCAACTGTATACTTCTTTCAGCATTTACAACCACATGCTGAAAATGGAGCTATGCACCCTGAAAATCCATCAAAGCAGTTGTTGATTCCTGTGACTCACCTTTCAGTGAAACCAAATCTCAACAGATGAAAGGTACTTCACCATAAACCTTCAAAGCAAAATACATAATCTTCAGTTAGTAGATTTTAATACTGTAGCACTGAATAAACAAACGGTTCATATACATAATATATGTTTACATAACATTACAGCAGGTGAGAAACGGTTTGACTATGTAACCAATGTATCTGATTTCCATTAGTGATGAGTCTTTCGCGAACAAACGGCTCTTTTTGAACGGATCTTTTTGGTGAATGTCGGGAACCGAATCGCATCGGTGAAAGAGACGTTCATTTGGCTGCCTGATTTGCATACTGCTACTACTTTTTGACCTCAAAACAACGTTTTTCTGTAGATAAGTTACAAAATAATTCTCTAAAGGTTAATCCTCACTTCAGAAACAATAAATACTGGGGAAAGCGTGTCAATCTGGTCCAAGCTAATTTTTTTGCATACCATCTAATAATTTGGCCAAGTAAAAAATTATTTAAACGGCGCATTTCATGAACTGACATAATGGTAGCCATCTTTTGGTATTTACATCGGAGATTTGCTATTTTTTTAATGGTTCTAGTTCGATTTTAAGCATTTTCAACGAAGAGCCGTTTAGGAGCCAAAGGAGCCGGCTCACCGAAAAGACTCAGAATGCCCATCACTAATTTCCATTGCTACCTTCTGAATTGAATTAAAAAGCATTTGAATAGGCTGCCACCACAACCACATCGTTTTATTGAGGTGCACAACAAAAGGCACCGCTTTGTATTGGGTCAAAATCTAAATGTATAAAATTATGAGCCGTTTTAGATGGATTCTGATAATAACGTCACTCTTGGCATCCCTGAGAATTTTGAGAAAATAATAGTTAGCCTACCAACCAAACTAGCTAGCTCATAATGTTGTAAATGTGTCTAGTTTGTAAAATACAAGTAGCTACCTACAATAACATACGTTTTTACAACCAGACACTTATTTGATGACTTACCAGAGAAACGTTTTACAGATTGAAGACAACATACCTTGCTAACGTTAGCTAGCTAGTCAATCATTGTTTTCATGGAAACTGGACGCTGTGATCTGTGTGGTGTTGATGCTGCTGCCAAGACGAGCTGTTTTGCTGTTTGGCGCGAAATGCCACTAGCGCGTGCGTGAGTGAGTGAATGAAGGTAAGGAAACCCTTCGCGCCAGATATGCTGTAAGAATCGATAATCAGCCAAATATTTGGTAGTAGCAGCCTTTAAAAAAAAATTGCCTAAAGAGATGCTTAGTTACATTATCAGTCGTTCATTTTAGACTGTTCAAATGCACTTGTTCCTTTTGAAAGCAGGACTGATTTGATAGCAGATTGATTGCATGCAGTAGGCCTACGCCTACCAACAGGATCTGGGGAATGTACTTTGATTTTAATATATTTTGCACTTTATATTCCTATCATAGCTTTTTTCTGTTGACAATGACCCGCATGAGACTGCACATTTAATCCACATCAAAATCCACCTGCTCATTCTACTTCACAGATAGCATAGGTGCAGCAGAAGGCGTATTCCTTCCTCATCTTGCGCAAGCTCAAAAAGCATCCAACCAAAACAATGGTCCATTGCATGCCTGGCATCAACCACTCTGTGTGAGGGAGACAGGGAGAGAGAGAGTGAGAGCGAGAGAGAGAGAGAGAGAGTCGTGATACACATGGTCTGACGCTGCGCTTCATTGTATCCTCGGCGAGCGTGTGTGTGTGTGGACGGTCCTACTTACTTGCAGAATCCTCGGAACTGCATCGACGAGGCTAATTTCTTCCCAAGAAAACCTCACTACAGGGCTCGACAAAACGTTTGAGTAATAGTCTCTGTCCGCACATAACCCACTCTGAAGAAGAGAGCAAAGACCAATTAACTTCGCACTCTTGCAAGGTAAATAGGTTTTATTTATTGTGGATTACAGTAAAATGCAAAGGGAACCCTCCCACTTTTCAATTATGATTTGTAAAGATAATCATTATAAGTAATTCATTGCTAGATACATTATACTGCAGACTAATACAGTTGTATTCAATAAGTAGAAGGTTAGGCTAGATGTAATTTTAAATTGGGGAAGCATGTCCCAATCTTCTGAAGAGGCTATATCATAATGGATCAACAGCAGGACTGCAAATCATATAATTTCATAATGTAGGCTGTTTATTAAGAGACTACAGAAAACAATCATGTCAGTTATGGCTCTTTGTCTCCCAAACAAATAGCCTGGTACTGAATGGGGCAGGAGTGGTTTAGCCTACTTCACTGGTTGATTTTTCAAAAACAAAAGTATCAAGAGTCCAACTAGAAAAAGGCTACATGTCAATAGTAACCAGTTAGTAGTATCCAGTTAGTGTGTGGTGTTGTTTTCATTAATTTGCCAAATGCAATATATTACATTTTTAAATGCAGATGTAATGTGGCATTTTCCTCTGAGCTTTCTTTCCTCTGTTGTGGTTCTGATGTGGTGCTTAGGGGATGCTGCCACGCTCCTTGGCACGTCTGTATGCGCTCGCGCTGGCTGGGCTGGGCTGCACGCATGGAACCATTAGATTTTCCCGATGATGCTAGTTTAGAAACAAATGCATGTGTGGCCATGGTGAAATGATGATAGAAACTGAAAACTGACTTTTAAATGTAGATTTGTTTGTTCAACATGTTTATATCATATGTCGTTTAATCAGAGACTGATATATTTTCTTAAAACCATGCTCTTGTTTGTGGTAGTGCTAAGAAATCATGATTGCAAGATCTGCAGTGCATATGAAACATGTCATCGATAGTGCTTGTATTTATAGATCTGAGCATTTATTAATGTATGTGTGGGTATTGTACTTGGCTGGATTTTGTCTCTCAAGGTCATTCTCTATTGGAAAATGATGGAAAAGGGACATGCTGTTACATAATGTGCCTGGCCAATGTACAGAGAGAGGAGGACTGCTAGTTCATATTCGAGAATCCGCTGATGACTATGCTTTGGTTAGTGGAGTTCGGCCAGTAACCAAAAGGTCGCTGGTTTGAATCCCTGAGCCGACTAGGTGAAAAATCTGCCCTTGAGCAAGGCACTTAACCCTAATTGCTCCTGTAAGTCTCTCTGGATAAGAGTGTCTGCTAAATGACTAAAATGTACAAAGAGGCTGCTCCAGATCCTTAGAAACATGTACTGTATGTATCTATTTGGTCCTATCTCAGTGTACTGAGCGGATGACAACATGCTTCTCTCTGCAATGCACTGCAGACAGACCTCTTTGTGACCGAGTAGCACTATGTGGGTATTTTGTAATCACTAACACGACTGCAGCAGTAGATTCAGGGAATTATTTGATAAGCTGGAGTAAAGTCATTGTCAAGTAAAAGCATTGGCTAATACGCTTTGTTAGATGTGTTTGTTTTTTTTCTTCTTCCACATCATCTCTTCTCCTTCACATCATTACATTTACATTTTTTGTCATTTAGAAGACTTACAGGAGCAATAAGGGTTAAGTGTCTTGCTCAAGGGCACATCGACAGATTTTTCACCTAGTCAGGGATTCAAACTAGCGACCTTTCGGTTACTGGCCCAACGATCTTAACCGCTAGGCTACCTGCCGCCCCAGCTCTTCTCCTCCTCCCTCCATTCACCTTTACATTGCATTTAACATCCATTCACTCATTGTCTGATGACGCTGCTGCTCTGAAATGGACCTGTAGGGTAGCGATACAGACAGTTTCATCATCAGCGTATAGCCTAGTCCGCCGCCTACGGCTCTTGGCAACGGTGTTGTGTTCGAGAGCTATGCAAAACATGAGACTGGGGCATACAGGTGCAACTCTTGGAGCAGTCTGCACTCCGCTCCTGTGAATGGAAGACCTTTTAAAGTGTCACACCTCTCAGAGTGGAGTAGCCAGGTAGTGGATGATACATGCTCATCATTCCTCACATGGGACCGATCTGTATGGTGCTGCTGCTGTCTTGAGGCCCATACTTCATTGAGAGTGACAGCACTACGGCTTGCTTCGACAATACAGCACCATCCATCCCCAGATGTTTGTCTTATGGGTAACTCTATGCTAACAACATCACAGCTTCTTCTGGAGATGTGCTTTGACTATCACTGTCAACGTGTTCACTGGTTGCTGCAATGCTGGTTCAGGAGAATGATCATCTTATCTTGTCTTACACTGCTAGGCTACTACCTTTGTATGTTCATAGCATGGTCCTGTGTGTGTGTGTGTGTGTGTGTTCATAGCATGGTCCTGTGTGTGTTCATAGCATGGTCCTGTTTGTGTTCATAGCATGGTCCTGTGTGTGTGTGTGTGTGTGTGTTCATAGCATGGTCCTGTGTGTGTTCATAGCATGGTCCTGTGTGTGATCATAGCATGGTCCTGTGTGTTTCCATAGCATGGTCCTGTGTGTGTTCATAGCATGGTCCTGTTTGTGTTCATAGCATGGTCCATGGCCCAGTGCCCACCGCTATAACATATATCAAGGGAGACGTCCCAGTGCCCACCGCTATAACATACATCAAGGGAGACGTCCCAGTGCCCACCGCTATAACATACATCAAGGGAGACGTCCCAGTGCCCACCGCTATAACATACATCAAGGGAG